TGGTTCAAGTTGTCCTTCAGAGCAAATTTGTTAGAATGTGTGAAAATAGTGAATTAATTAACACCTGGCATTTCTAGGCAGGCAGTTGAAAAAACAGAGAGAGAGAGAGAGAGAGTACTACACTGTGCATGGGATTGTGTGTATGAGTTTCTTTATGTGTACAGGGTACTAGTCTGTACAGTACATTACATGCATGAATGAGTGTGTCGTGTCCATTCAGGCAGGAGAAGAAAAGATACATAACTTTCAGACTCATCAATACTGTACATGTGTCGAATATCAAGTTGATAATATGGCCCGAAAAACAAGCAGCACCATCGTTTTGAATTAATCAACTTTTATTACAACATAAGACATTTAGTTAAGAGCATTTGAACTTAAAGAATTGCAGGTTAAAAATAAGTAGATTGTTTCCCATTTAAGTCAATTTGATTAGTGTTTGCACGAGCACCGAGTTGATGATTGTCTGTTTACTTCTAGGATTCGGTCGAAGACACTGTCCATAGAGTGAGAGGCTCTGTTTATTCTGAGGGAAGTATACCAAGAGGCTCATGCACTCTGGGTCAGTATGGGATGGAAATACCTCCGCTGGCTGACAGTCGTATGGACCTTGAAGTTCGGCAGGCCAAGGAATGGAGGTGTTTGTTTCCCGAATGTGGGTATGTCACCGATCGCGAGTCCTGGCTGAGACAGCATTTTCGTAAACACACCGGTGAGAAACCTTTCTCGTGCCCTTACTGTGCCTTCCGCTCGGCTCAAAGGGGTAACCTCAATGTTCACGTGAGGAGAGTACACTTTGCCGGACAGTCACCCAGTATTGATTGTGTTGCAGTCAAGTCCGATTTCGTCAATTCCTCTTGAAAAGAGCGAACTGATCTGTACAGATAATAGAAAAAAGAATGAAAAAAGGAAAGAGAAGAAGGACCACTGAAGAAAGCCAGTGATTTATTGTAACATTCTTGTAAAAGCTCCTTTGCAGCCTCTGCCTAATACTGTATAAAAGTTGCTTGTTTCAAAGCTTCCCACTTAAAATTTTCATGTCCGACACAAAATATGTATTGGACATAACCCACAAAATTATGAGTACCTCAGTGAATGGTGTACCTGTATGACCATCAAAGTAATGTGACGACAGTAATATTGTGTGAGCCAAACAAAGTGCTGCGAACAGTTAGACATTATCAGCCTCTTACTAGGTTGATAAATTCTCATATCTTTATTTGCTTACCAAAATAAAGTTCCCATCAAAGCTGTGGAAAAGTTGCAGGCCTGAAATGCAAGACAAATGTCCCATGACAAACAATTTGATGTGTGATATCGACACTGTGAGGCATAAGAATGTAGTGAGTGTTTCAGTGTTTGTGAACTTGTAACTTATTGTCAAGACAGTCCCTAAACATGGGATCAGAATTACAAGCCTTTTCTTGTAAGCCAAGCACTCAATGATCATCTGCGAGATTGAGTTAGGGGTTAAGTATGCATATGTTGGGTTGGTTTGTTAGTTCAGTGTTAAGGTTACCACCGTCACAATAGTTTGGTAGTCACATGAACATGCTATTTAGCGGCTATGACGTTCTACAAGGTCATGTCCTCTTCTTCAACCACAAAAGAGTATTTAATGTTCTGAATGCATTCTAATTTAATTATGAAGAGAATGTACATTGTAAAAAAAATGATGTACAGTTACTACAGTATTTTATTTTTTCTTCTTTTTCCTCCAAGTTGTGTTCCAATTACCCACTGACTAGGTATATTTGTTGTGTGGCCATTGGATTTAAATATTTCTGGCTGATAATGATGAACTGTGGAAGTAACAAACAGTACATGGGTAATACATTAATGCCTGAAGCTACTCGTGGTATGTGATTGTGCTAGTACAGTACAGTATGCATGCAGAGTAACACACTTAGTCTTACACACTGTAGCTTCTCTAATTATTACAAGTCTTAGAAAATATCTCACAGGCATTTAGATACAGTACAGGCTTTCTTTACCTTTTCTTTTGTATACTTGTCAATCTGCATCTTGTACAGTATATGGACACAGTAAGCTGACTGTGGACATTCATTCCAAACTTAGATGTTATGATAACGGTAATAATGATGATGGTAATATTAATATTTATTGGTAAGGATAACCATTGTATATAAGTTATGAGAAACATGATAGTTCAGGACCTGAGCCTTGAAACTCTCACAAAGGCTCTGGAGTTCAGTGCCAAAGTCACCTTTTTTTTTCTACGGATTAAGAATGAATAAACATCACAGAAATACATGTTTGTTTAATTTTGTTCTCATATTGTATGTATTACTTTTGTATTCTGACAGTACTGTATATATTATTTTATACAGTAATTATATTTTGTGGCTGTTATTATGTACAAAGTTATATTTGGATTTGTTTAATGTCAAATACTGTATAGAGACAAAACTATTACTTGTATGGATTTCAAACTTGTTAGCATTAAATTGGACAACGAGCAGTGGATCTGTTGGTGTTCTGTGACAATCAAAGATCTACTACGTACATAACATAAGAAAAATAGTACTGTCGTTGTTTACCTAAAGAAAGGAAGCTGTTGTTTTTTGTTTTGTTTTTTGTTTTTTTAAATTCTTTCTGTGGTGACCTGTGGTGTAGTGGTTAGCTTGGTCACCTCACAGGCAAGAGGACCTGAGTTTGATTCCCAGACAAAGTAGAACTGTCGTCATTTCCTTCGGTCTACTCGGCATTATTTACAAACCTGGATGCAAACAAATTAGGAGATCATATTTTGGGGAAGTTATCAGATGGAATCATTGGCAAATTGTCTGTTTCCCTGTTGGCTCTTACTTGACACAGCCTCACACATCTATGGTTGTTACATTAGTGACGTCTTCTTGTTGGCTCTTACTTGACACAGCCTCACACATCTATGGTTGTTACATTAGTGACGTCTTCTGTACCTGAATAAAATCTGTACAGATGACCTTAGGGTTGGCCATATATAATTATAATTGAACAACCCATAATAACTCTTTGATCATCTTCTCGTGATAAAAACAAGATGGTGGAAATTCTCTCTATTTAAGCTGGGGGGCTAATCTTCAGGTGCTCAGAAATAATCATTGGTAACATCACACGAGGACTAGGTAGAACATTTCCTCACAGTAAGACATAGGGGTGACTACAACAGCCATAGAAAAGACTCATTTACTCGCATTCACATATGTTGTCTTTCACTCTTACTCAATGTTTCTTACAAGAGCAGCTGGAAAAACATTGTAATTAGTAAGCAGTCCATGTTGTATTTAACCCCATGTCTATGGGGGGTCTCTCTGTGCTGAATAAAATCGTCTGGTTTTAGCTAAATTAAATATTAAAAGTTTCGTCCTCGTAGTGAAGGGGTTAATGTTCTAAATATATGAGTCTTCATTGTCCAAAGTTATGTAAGTTCAAGTTGGTCTTCACTACTGTACAGTACAGTTAACATGTATTGAAGAGTTGTCTGTTGTATCCAAGGAAGATATTGTAGTGTATTAGTGTTTGTTTATATGCTTGAAGAAAAATATGCTTCATGACATTTCATTTTATACATAGTGAAGAATTTATGAATGATGGCAAATGTACAAGTGAACCAGTGCTCAACCTAACCACTATTAACACAGAGAAATAATATTTACATTAACCCTTTATGTATGGGGTCTCCTCTTAGCTGAATAAAATAATCAGGCATAAGGCAAATAAAATAATAAAAGTTACATCTCTGTAGTGAAGGGGTTAACAGAATACTTGATTGGGAAATTACCACAAAGGAAAAATACACTATTGCATGAATTCTTACATGCTTATTGTTTTTGTTTAGAATTTGGAATATTGTATTGTATGTGAAAATATGCATACTGGGCAAGAGTTTTTATATACTGTACTGTATTGTATTCTGTGGAATTCCATTACTACCTGTATAGTGTGTGTGTGTGTGTGTGTGTATGATTGGAAAGTATGTCAAGTGTGTGCATGTGAGTGTAATAAAGTTTTAATATGTAATTCATTACATCCAGTGGAGAGTAATGTGTACATAAAATGACTTATTGTATAGAGAATTATTGATGTACTGTAATATACTTTTGAGAGTTATTGTCTCTATTTTGTGGTGGATACAGACAGACTTAAAAAAAAATGTTTAAATTCAAAAATATATTGTGACATTACGTAGCTCCTCTAACTTACTGTGGTTGTCTAAAATACTACTCTGACTCGACATAATATGAAGTGATTGTCTTGTGGTCAGAACTGTCTCAAAAATACTGTATACGAGGAAGTGATGCCGATCATGTGAATTGGTGGATTTATGTCACGAGGCATACGGTAAATCATCATGTGTGAGGTCTTTTGTACTCTGTTTTGTAAGGATTATTTGCTCCAACCTTGGTCATTAAAATTAAACTTTATTCAGTACAGTATTTATAAATCAAAAGATCTGATAGTAAGGTTAACAGAAGAAATTATTTATTTCTTTATGGGGTATCACCTGAAGATAGGCCCCACCCTCCACAGCTTATTTCACCTTAAGATTGAACACCATAATGCTAGCCTAACCTAACTCCCCAGGAAGCATTAGGGTGTGTAATCGTAAGGTGAAATAGGCTTGGAGGCTAATGTTCACGTGATTTTTTCTTTTATAATAGCAATGGTACTGTACAGTGCTTCACTTTTGTTAATGTATTATCACCTTCCTACTTGCCTCTTCTGTATTGAGCACTTTCCTGATTTTAATAGTGTGATGCTGTTAGTTAAAATATTGCACTACAGAAAAATAGTCCAATTATTATTATTTTTATGCTACAGTAGTTATGGCTTATGTTTACCTGTTGTGCAGATTATTTACAATGTCAGTTGTTTTTGTTACTACTATACAATGTCTTAAGCTGGTACTGTTACCGATGTGATAGACAGTCTTGTCATTTCCTGTACAGTATATGGAAACGTAACACATAACCAAGTTGCGCATTATCCACCAACAGAACATGCCGGATCGTGCAGGTCGACGCCCTTGTCCCTTCTGTAACAAAGAGTTTGACTTCGCAAGCTCCCTAGAGCGACACCTACGGGTTCATACAGGCGAGAAGCCCTTCGCCTGCCCTCTCTGCCCATACCGCACAGCACAGCGTTATAACCTTGAACGCCACAAACGTACCCACGACATAAGACTGATGCCCCAACATTCACTGCCGGGCTCTTCAGAGCAACAGTGTTGAATACATGTCTCATGATCTTGTATCTGATGACCATTAAGAAATCTTACCACAGTCAGGGTTGCCAACTGTCCTCACCACAACAAATTGCTAAAATCTAAATCCATTCAGTACATAGTCTGGATGGTACGGTAATTATCTGCTACAGTACATTAATATTTTTTCACTAAGGTTTTCCACCACTTTCATAATGGTGGTAAGTCATAAAAGAAAGACATTAATAAGCTTTTTAAAACATCATTATTAAATTTTGATACAATTTTCATCAATATTTAGAATGAAAGTCTGTTGCTAGGTGTTGGTCTGGTAACAGTGTTGTCATCACAGGTGGCTTCTTAAAGTATGTTCGGTAGTCAGGAATAAAGTATACAGGTGCAGTAGCTAAAACAACTATCTGTGCATACTTTGTGGGAAACGATATGAGACCATGGACGATAAATTTTGGTTTCTGAGGGCTATCACTCGTCACGTAAAATTTTGGAGCACAGATAGTTGTTTTAGCTACTGTACTGTACAGTACAAGTACACTGAATGTATGTAGCTACAGATTTTTATGATTGCTGTAAAGGTGGAAACAACCTATTGGATATTAACAGGTAATAAAATCAAAATGGATAAAGATTCAAGAGCATTACAATACACATTGACCGGAAAAGATGAACTCTGAACATATCTAAATATTTCCGTCTGACTAACATTTTACTGTTTCTATCCAAATGTGTGAAGTGTTGGAAGGTTGTCAACTCTGCCTGTGATGAAAGGTACACCAACTGTTGCCACCATAGTCAGTTTTCATGGTAGATCAATTCTCAGCCTCTATTAACAAAGTACAAATATTACTAACTTCCCTATGCAAATGATTTACTACTGTTGTATGAATAAGGAAGATTGTTTGCTAGAAGGTTAAAGACTTGGGTGTGCTGGATGCTTCTGAGTGTGATATAGAGGAGAGTGTTTTCATGTGCCGAGTGTCTCATAGGTCATGCACCACAAGGAAATTTGTGTTTTTTCTCTGTTTCTCTCATTCTTTCTCTTAAACTTTTTTTTGTTTGTTTAGGAACTCATGAAATATCAATGAGTATAGCACAAAAAGTAACGCTAAAAGAAAAAGTCAGATGCTACAAACACACACACACACACACACACACACACACACACACAACTGTGCAGCATCTCCAAATGGGGAGGTAGAAATTTGGTCAAATTCAATCGTAAGAAAACACAGTACTGCAGTCGACAACACCCAAGCATATGGACATTGTCAATTAAATTATTTAGCAACCAATCGGGGTGTTCGATGTGACTTTCTGTACATGAATATTAAACTTTCCTCTAGTGTAGTTTCTCTGCCATATTTAATAGAACTGTTAAAATTTCCTCACCAGAAAAAGAAAAGGATACCATAACTATTTATCCTATATCCTATGGTGCATGACTTATAAGACACCTTGTACAGTATGTGGTGACAAGCTGCTGCACTACAGCCAGCATACAGCCTCCTCTTAACACCATGAAGGAGGGGAATATAGTATATAGAATGTTAAAAAAAGGAATATTAAATTACTAGTAATGTTAAGAGTCTATTGGCAGTAGTTGTGAGGAGTTAGTACATGTATTGTAAAACATAGCTGGGAGGGATTCTGTATGCCACAAACGAAATATATTAAATGTTGAGCTGAAAAAAACCTGAGGAAATATCTGTAATCTGTCTTTATAGATTTGGGTGATGTGTATGGAAAATATTGAGATAATATAAGGGAAGACTAAAGAATCAATGAAAAACAGGAAAATAAGTAAGAATGTCATAAATAAATTATATAAGTATGTAAGGAGGACTTGTCATGAGTAAAAAAAAATTTTATGGAGGGATTGATAACAACAATTCACTTCAAGTTTTCCTAATTTTAGTACTTTTTTTTTTACATTATATTGTACCTAAACTTCACCGATGGGTACTTTGAGACATTATCTGCATAATTTTATAAACTACACTTTTCAATTTTATTTTACTGTAAATAGAAACAGTGAAATGGAAAACATATAATGTAGCTTAAAATTTGAGAGTTCAGTAGTGACTTTAAAGATTGTGTGATATTTGTAAAGGCAATAAGTTGATATATTATTCCTCTGAAGTTTACAGGAAAGAATTTATCCTTTCCTTGGCATGTTTTTTTTTTTTTTAATACACTTTGCCCTTAATTGTTTCTTGTTTTGTTTTCCTTAATTGATACCGTCGCAGTTCAAGTGTTGTGATACTCCGTTGTTGTTGTTTATTATCATACATTCATACTTTCACTACAAATTAATATTGTTGGTTACTTCTGCTTAGAGTACTGTAGTATTTTTTAGAATTTCTTGCTGCATCTTGAGATAGGAAAAACAAGTCAAATTAAATTACTCTTGTACAGGTACATGTAATGTGTTTGTGTAGTGTTGGTTTTCCAGTGATTTTGTGGTTGATTTTTACTCTATCTATTAATATTACTGCTGTGATTCTAGCATTAAAATGATTAAATGTGCCTCTCGTCTTTTAACAAGCCATCTCACATAACCAAGTTGCGCATTATTCACCAACAGAAAATGCAAGAATCTGCAGCTCGGCAGTTGTGTCCCCTCTGTAACAAAGAGTTTTACTTCGCAAGTTTCCTAGAGCGGCACCTACGGGTTCACACAGGCGAGAAGCCCTTCGCCTGCACTCTCTGCCCCTATCGCACTACTCAGCGTTGTAATCTCGAGCGTCATAAACGTACCCACAAAATTGAACAGATGCCATCACAGTTTCTGCCAAGCTCCTCAGAACAATTAATGCCATGACCACCATACAATTTTCACCATAAATTTACCAATGATGTACAAGATATAGATAAGAGTTAAGATAATACTACACTGTACTTGACACATTGTACTTCTATATAAAATACAGGTGCTCCTCTACTTACAAACGAGTTACGTTCCTGAGGCTTGTTTGTAAGTCCAACTTACTCTTCTCCTCTTGGGTAATGTTTGTTCTATCTGGAATTTTCTTCAAAATAATCCATTCTCATCCACATTAAACACCTGTTCTGGCAGGTAACCCCCCTTAGTGATGATGTTTGTATCTCTGAAAGTTTGTAAGTTGAACATTCTTAAGTAGAGGAGCACCTGTACTGTACTAGATTCTTCCATGTCCCACACTCTGTAAACCTTACCTTATCTAACCTCAGTATGTTCTTCAAACAAGTGATTAATTTTTTTTATGAAGGATGTACTGTACCTGTATATACAAGATTGATTAGTTTATATTCTTTGTGATAAGGTATACTATATTTGTATTGTGTGTGTGTATTACTAACAGTAAAATGAAAGTGATGTGGAGTAAATCTTAATTGTCCTGTAAATATAATACTGTACTACTGTATAATATATTAAGAATTACAGTATGTGTACAGTGAAATCTCCATCTGATGTATTCAATAGAGATGAAAGTCCGTTATATCGAGGAGCCGTTAAATGTGAAACTCCCATCTAACGAATTATATGGAGAGAGAAGTCTGTTATATGGAGGTTTCACTGTACATTTAATTTATTTTCTATTAATTTTGTACTTAATTATGATTACTTTTAAATATAATGAAGTTTTTAATATTTGTTTTCTCTCTCTCTGAAAAGTTTTATTGTCCATTACATCAAAATCAATAATATTTGTGGGTTAATGAACTAGTATTAATGCATCACGTGATTATCAACATATTGTTGTATTAGCTCTCTTGCCCTTGTCAGTATTATTATTATTTTTGTTATTATTATTATTATTGTTTTTGTTATTATTATTACAGTACATTATTACTATTAGTTTCTAAGTAATGTACAGTATTGTGTATGAAGCCTGTGAGTGCCCAGAGATCGTGTAATGTACAGTACTGCCACACAGATACAACCAGAATATAATGCAAAAGAGTTATGTTAGGTTAGTATTGCTATTAAACCTGCAGTGACAAACATATATTACTTTTATGTTTCGTGTACAGTATATAAAGAAAATTAATGTTCTTTGAAACAAAAGAATAAAACTTGGTGTCAGTGACTGTAATGTGTAAAGTATCGTGTACAGTAGTACCCCGATTTACGGGGTCAATTGAACCCATGGGGTACCGCGGAAAGTGAAAACCGCGTAAAGTGAACAACAGAACATATGGGATTAATTCCAATAGAGATTGGCCCGATCCCCAAACTCCACTTTTTCAGACACAATACCTAAGTTGTAGTAAAAATTACATCTTAATTTTATGATGGTATGCACACACAATTAATAATTAAGAGAAATATCAATAATATTAGTTTTTTTAACACTTACATTAGTAGAAAAGATGGCTGGGCACACAGGGATGGGGGGTTGGTTCCGAGGCAGGGGGCAGATTATTGGCCCTCACCTGTATCACTTGTATCAATTGTATCACTATCCACCACATAGGCTTGCAGGGCCTCTTTATCAATCCCCTCAAAGTCAAAGTCCATATAAGTCCATATCCTCACTTTCACTGACTTGGGCCAGCTGTGGTGGGTGGCGGGTGAAGAACTCGGTAATGTTTTGATGACTGGGCGACCTTGTGCGCATCCTGCCCGTGCCGCTTCCCGCGTATATGAGTAGATGCACCGCGTAAAGTGAAAGTCCGGTTCTGGCGAGGTACCGCGTAAATGCGAAATCGCGGAAAGTGAAACCGCGTAAAGCGGGGTATTACTGTACACTAATATACATATTACAATACTGTATTGTACTATACGTACAGTACTTATTAAACATACAACAGTTGATGAATTGGAAAAATGAATATCAGTTTAAGTGTAAGTGAAAGTGAATTCAGTACAGTATACTGTACAGTGTAATGTACAAGTGAATACAAAGTGTACATTGTACACATAAATAGAAAATGTAAACTGAATAACTAAATAGAAAGTGTAAAGTGTATGCCAGTAAGCAAATACAAATTGTAAAGGGTAATTGAATATAAAGACTGTTAGTGTAAAGTGTAGGAACATTCAAGTGATCACAAATAGACAAATGTGGCCTTCAAGGATTCTCAAACCCCTTCCAGTTTAAACAGAGTAGGATATCCAAGGACTCTCAGATCTCAAGCATTTAAGAAATGCAATGTTAGTACAGGATTCCACAATTGTATACAGTACCTTTTATGTCAATATACAGAATCTAAATACCTGTATACAGTACATTTCTACAGTACAGTACATTATATTTTTCTTTGATATACAGTTTAAATGCTTTAATTACCAGTCAGTTTCTATACATCAGTACTCAGAACTAAAGGTGTATTCTGTTCTCACTAAAACGTTAATAAATGCTCTTGTTGTTTTTTCTGTACGGCATTAAGTTACTTCAATGATCAGAGTGTTTGAACATTGTTTACGAGGTCTTAGTGTTTATGTTGGATGACCGTTTTTAAAAGTTAAGGAAGGAGTTTTATTTTTTATTTATTTTTATTTATCATTTAGCCACTTACCAGCTTACTAGCCATTCAGGTGGTTGATCTATCCAGTGTCAGTACAGGAGGAAACCGGAGTCTGGGAAACCTGTGATGTGTGGTAGTGAGGGTCACACTGGATAACACCCTTCTCACGTATTTATTCTGGCTACTCCTTTATCACTCCTTACTATGTGCTGTTGCTGATGTTGTTATAGATTTATGTGACTTCTTTACCTCCAGGAAGAAAGAAATGTTCCCAGTGAAATAAAAAGTAAACATAAATTATCTACTCTGTACAATACAGCTCTTGTAAAATGAAACAATTGCATAAGACTTTTGTAAAATGAGATAATATAAATTTCCTCTGAAATGAAAGATTTAAGGAAGTACAGCTCCTCCCCGACTTACGACGGGGTTAGGGACCCAAATCCAGGTCGTAAGTCGGAAATGCTTAAATAATACATAGAAAATCGAAAATGGGTCTCTTTTTCTTCTCAGCACCACAAAACACTCACTTTTAAGCTTGCCAGCTATTTTAAAGTGAATTACAAACGAAAATTTTGTCTGTGTATCAACTTTGGGACTCGAAAATGTGTAATTTTACCAAATTTTGGTACAACTGAGGCAGGTCGTAAGTGCGGGTGGTCGTAAGTCGAGTAGGTCGTAAGTCGGGGAGGAGCTGTATTCCCATGTGAAATCAAACTTTGTTAAAAAATATGTACTGTACTGTACTTCTATAATGAAATTTGAACAGAAAGAATACTCATTTACAGTGCAGTGAAATGTTACCAATAATCCTTCCCATAAAAATAAATTTCTAAAATGAAACACAAAACTACACAAGACAGTCATTAGGTAAAACGTTTACAGAAAACATAAAAATGAATACTGTACTGTACAGTTGGTAGATGATATAGTAAAGTGAAGCAAACACAAAACACGAACATATACTGTACCTGTAGCTTAACTCTTGTAAAGTGAAGCACAAATACTGTAAGACATAACCTTGGACTCGTCACAGCTTGTCCATTGCTTCTATCAGGGAATTCAGGAGCTGTATAATCAAGCGTTAGTGATGAAATTTATTGTTTGTTTAAGAAAGAATTTTGAAATAGTATTGTAATTACCGTACTGTATGTGTTTTATTATTCTCAAAACCTACGAGTTACTGATTCATATTTTTATTCTCATGTTTACTGAATATTTTCTGGGGGAATTTGATGAATATTTTTTTTTCCTCTTTTTAATTGAATGGATGTACAGTACACCTCATCCTAAAAGTATCTTTATGATATTAAGTGAGACAATATAACACAATGGACAAAAGATTTTGACGACCCTAACAAGACAACAGGAGTCGTGGTGTTCATTTTGAAATTTATCGGACCTCTCCGTAAAGATAATTTTTGGAGCGAGTGTACAGTATGCATGTCTGGGATTAAATTGGTGTATTGTATAGGTAATTACAGTCAGTTCTGCTATAACTCGATAGTTGTGTTCTTGTAAAATATCGTGTTATAGAAAATCGCGTAATAGAAATAACAGGGCTTATGGAGAAAATAGGGTTAGGTGCAGATTACTCGAAATCGAAAAAAAATTAGTAGTTAGCCTAACACAAAGGATAGCACAGTCTAAATAAATGTTACATTCATATCTATGAATATAACTTAATGGGGGAGAAGGGTGATTTTGAGGTTGATAACATTGAGCTTCTCTTCAAGTGTTATATCCTTTCTTTTACGATCATCACCGGGAATGCGATCACCAGAACGCTTCTTGGAGATATTCTTCTTTACCATATTCACAGTTAATACCACAAAATTGGAGAAATAGTAAGCAAAAATCGCATTACAGCAAACAAGCGTTTGCGTTATACAAATATCGTTCCTCTATTCATAAATCGCGTTAGAGCCAATTCGCGTTATCAAAACACACGTTATAGCAGAACTCACTGTACAGTACAGTCATAGTCTATACAGTACAGTGGTCCCTCGGTTAACGAACACAATTCGTTCCAGAAGGTCGTTCGTTAACCGAAACCATTGTTTCAATGGGATTTTGGGTAATTGGTTCCAGCTCACCGAAAAGTACATACAAAGTAAAAAAAAAAAAAGGGGGCATCAAAGTACACTTACTTTGAGGTGTGTATGTAGAAGGCTCCTGGTTGATGATGATGATGGGAATTAGAAGTGGGGGTGGAGGAGAAGGGAGAAGAGAAGGAAGTGGAGGTGGAGGAGAAATCACCCCATGCTTGATGCCGTCATTTCACCAATATAATTTTAAGTTCACTGGGTGTAATTCAAGATTATTTTCTTTAAATCAACACTGCACTGCACTATATATTGTCAATATGTGAAATAAATTTCAGAATGACCAATAATTGTACTGTAAAAACGTAAAAATACTCTGTTCAAGAGACCCACAAGCAAGATGTTTCCTCTACTGAACAGACACACAAACTGACGCCTTCGTGTGTGAGTGAAGTGGCTGATGGGCACACCAAAAACTAGTTCCCTGTACTGCAA